GGGCATTTTGAACAGTATAGTGTTGGAGTCTGTGAAAACACATCCTTCACAGAACTCATCAGCCCCCTGCCCACTGGAAACATTGTCTAAACATGTGCATGCATAATTTATTGACTTCTCTATTCTCTAGCATGCCAGCCCTGGAGCCAAGGCAAGAAAAAAGGAAAAAAAAAAGGAATAAAATGAGTGTAAGCCTGGTGAAGGAAGGGCTCAGGTGGTTAAACAAGACTTGATTATTGTCATTAATATTCAAAAGAGTTCTAATTTGATGTGGCATTAAATGGGCAGATTGTGAGTGTGTGTAAAAGCCTCTTAGGAGAACAAGTTGCCCAGACGGAGGCCAATCAGTTGTGTGTGTGTGTGGGGGGGTGGTGGTAAAAAGAATTCCCTATCCAATTGGTAATCCAACAGACAATCTGCTTCTCGTTGGGCAGCGCGGGGGGGAGCAGATGGAATGCAAATGCTCCCATTAACTATGGTCAGATCCCAGCAGCTTGGATGCCCTGTAAATGTCCCTTGTGACAAATTTGGTTGTTAAACCTTGCCTTCTCCAGTTGTAGGACTCTCTTCTAGGTGAATTTGGATTGTGTACTTTGCAAGGGAAAGAACAGATTTAGGGTTTGCCTATTGAGTCTAAGTCTCTTATCTTGTAAGCTGAAGAGGGACTTTGAGCTGAGATGCTAAGGGTGGTTAGTACATGGAGATCACTAGCCTCAGATACTTGCCATTTACTATAGCGACATCTAATGGTCAGAGAACACAGTGCCATGCTTGCATTCCAAAGCAATCAATCCATGCTTCTGTCATGGGGGTTAATTAAAAAAAATGCACACACGCACACACACACACACACACACACACACACACATATACAGAGAGAAAGGGAGAGTATGGACAACATATTATATTTATAAATCCATAAAATAACAGTTTAACTGAAAACCTGAGTTCACTTCCTGTATCTTTGGATGATATTATGATGTTTATAATTATTCTGTGTACACACCACAATTACTTCTGTGGATTGTTTTTTTATTGTAAAGATACTATACAGAGGGTTACAGTTACATGAGTGAGGTAATGAGTACACTTCCTCTTCAACATTGTTACCCCCTCCATTGTTTTCCCCCTACTGTGGATTGTTTTTTAAACCATCAATGGTAAAGGGCTAGCCTTGAGCCAAAGAAGCTCAGGGACAGTGCCCAGGCCCTGAGTTCAAGCCCCAGGATTGGCAAAAAAAAAAAGATTGATGGAGAAGACTGAATAACCTCAATCCCATATTCAGATGTGGATAAACTTAATTTGAAAATTTAATAACTGATCCTCCAACTCTTAAGACCCTTGGGGGCAATAAACTGAGTTCAGGAAACCTTGCACAGGGTCACTCAATTAAAAGAGGTGGCAGAAAGGGCTGGAGAAATGCTCTTAGTAATGAGAAAAATTCTTAGAGCCGGGATTTTTAATTATTATTTTATTTTATTTTAGTGTTACTGGGGTTTGAACTCAGGGCCTTGGACTTGTTAGGTATGTGCTCTACCACGGAGCCATACCTCCAGCCCACAGTTTCTTTTAAAGATGAGCTTATGGTTTTATCATTCTGTTATCCTTTCTATTCTACTTCTTTCCAGCTTTATGCTATTTTTCAGAAGAGGGTAACTTTGGGTGCTG